AGGTCATTGATGCAATCCTTAGTCGCATCGAAGGTGACTCCGTTGTTAGCAGAAGTTCCCTTGTCCCAATCAATGATCTTCACAAACTGCGACTTCCCTGTGCCAAAGGTCATGGGGTCAAGACTTCCACAGGAAGATGGAACCGTTGGCCCCGTGGGCACTGGCAATGGCTTGATGGGCATGGAGAACCTGATCTTGGACCAACGGATGTTCTTTCGGTATTTAGAAGGAGCAAAGAAACCCCAGCCACCTCCGCCCTTGTTCGGCTCGAAGGACTTGCTGGAGGCACGGCAGCAGCAGTCTCGACCAAACCCGGCGTTGTTGTCATCATAGTTGCATTTGTTCCACTTTGAAGTGCCAGAGATTGCATCATTCACATCCGAGTACAGCTCAAACTGCTTGTTGAGCTTGTTGTTGGATGACTTCCATTTGTAGATGTAGCCACGCGCATCAAAGCCATCTCGAACTTGAATCTGCTTGTACACGGACCACTCATGAAAGGTTGTACCATCCTTGCTCACCTCCATGAGCCATACCCCGCCGTTCTGCGCGAAGAGGTCATTGATGCAATCCTTAGTCGCATCGAAGGTGACTCCGTTGTTGGCAGAAGTTCCCTTGTCCCAATCAATGATCTTCACAAACTGCGACTTCCCTGTGCCAAAGGTCATGGGGTCAAGACTTCCACAGGAAGATGGAACCGTTGGCCCCGTGGGTGGCTGGCATGGCGTGGTCGCCAAGCAATTGAACTCTGATGGACCCCTCTCACTTACCTTGCACTGCATGTAGGCCGTCTTGCCAGAATCCGTGTCATAACTCTCGCTGCACTTGTTCTCGGCCTCCTCCCCTTTGGCACCACTCAGGCTGTCACACTGCCAGTGGTCATTTCCCACCACCTTCGCTAAGAGCTTGCCAGAACAGACGGGAAGGTCGGACAGCGAGAAGTTGCCGCGGTCCTGCAACTTGAGACCAACTGCAGCGGTCAGGAGCAGAGCTACGAGGCTCCACCCAGACATCTTCATTGCAAGTTTGGAACACTTGGACGCTTGGAGACTTGGGCACAAGCGCTGCAGAAGGACGGGAATCCATGGCATGCAAGCAAACTGGCATGCTGCCGCTGCGATTCTGCTCGTCGCTCGACGCATTCACTGAGGTCAGGGCATGGTTGCCTGAGGCCCCATTGGCAGCCCATGCACTTTTCGCCAGGCCCAGGCTGGTCCTGCGCGGCTCAACCAGCGCGGCGGAGGAGCACGGGCGACCGAGGCCTTTCTGATGAAAGAGGTTCATGATAGAAAAGTCCGTGAAAAAAAACGACAACAGCCGAATTCAGAAAACGACCTCTCGTTACCTGGTGTTCATCTATTTTTCTTCATGGAAACGAATCCATACGCATGCGCATGCGGCCATCGCGACTCCTTGGAGCCACTATCCGCGCTGGTGCGTCTGAAAGACGGAGAAGTCGTAGCAGGTCTGTCGCTTTCCACCCAAGACATGAGGTCTTTGAAGGAAGGACAACTTGTTGGTGACACCAAGACATGGGTCGAATGGAACTCCGACAAAAGCAGGAGGTGGAACGTGAGAGCCCGCCCTTCTCTGCCCGCTCGAACAAAAGTTGCAGTCATGACTCAAACCTATGTTTGGGCTTGCTGTGGCAAGATGAGTCCCAAAAAGGATGATGAACATGAGCATGTTTTCCCTCGGAACTCGCGAGCCTAAGTCGTGATCAAAGCGCAGCATCCAAACTTCCTTTTGCGCTCAAGAAGTGATTCCAATTGCCAAGCATTGCGATGCCAATACGGCACTATTGGAGGACTCACAAATGCATGGCTCCTTTTCTAAATGTTACCCTCATGGGGGGGTCACAAAAGGTATGGTACGTTGGCATGAATTCTTCCTGCATCCCAGGAAACCCTATGTGGGATTTAAAAAAGAAACACTGAAACACCAAGAAACTGTTCATCAATCACCTTCAAGCCAAATGCATTGGAACGAATTGAGGCAGAAAACGCGGGAGGCCTAGCAGGGGTAGTAAAGGAGGGATCTTCGGTCTTAGTGAAACCTCGTTCCCACGAGGTTTAGCTCGGGGATCGTGACCGAACAGGTCGACGTCGTTGTGCGAACAACACACACAACGAAATGGTCTTCGCAACATCCGACCACAGAGCGATGACCCGACCACCAGCCATGCCCACGAATACGGCGCCTTCACAGCAGGGAAAATGCGGCGACCGCCCTCGGCGCCCGAATCAAGCAAAAAGGTGACACACCCAAGCCTACCAAACTAAGCAACCTCATCCAAGCAAAGCAGCCTGATGCAAGCAGCAGTGGCCTCGTCGAGAATCCAGCAGAGATGGATGCCCCTGAAATCGACCATGCTTTTCGCAAGCAGATCCACCCGGCGATCAGGCACGAGCGCATTCCCAGGATCCCATATGTGAACACTTGCACGGATGCCCCAGCTAAACAATGCCTGCACGCAACGTCTTCCGATTCGCCATGCATGTATATGCAGGCGGCTGAGCAGTTTCCCTTCCACACCTCAGGCGTTCGACCCTTTGCATCATCAAATGTCCGCACCTTTGCATCATCACCTTCACGGGCCAGCAGAGAAAAGTATTTGCGACAAACAGTTGCGCCTGGGGGAAAAAGATTACATCGACCATCTGCGGCCGCCCAATGAGTTCCCATGACTCTTCTGCGCCATCGCAGCCAACCTGTGTAGTTAAGCATGGTCTCTGCAGGCCCCTTACAACTGCATGGAACAACTGATACAAAGGGCCACGCACTGGACAGGATATGATTTCTCCACGAAGTTCAGAATGCACATTAACCCAAGCACTACCCTTTGCATCTTGATGTGTTGTTTCACCTCCCGCAAGCATCCCTGCAGTGTTGCATGATGGGATTGATCTCCTCTTGTTTGTAAGGAACCTCGTCAATCCAAGGTTCTTCAGTTGTTTATTGGTAATCTATACGGGCAAGCCCTATCACCGGCACATAGGGTATCATCTTCCCTCTTACGGGGGGCGTGGCAGCAGAGAGTCTCACAATGTTGTTCTTTTTGTTCTTTGAATTGTTGTTTTTATGTTTTTGTGTTTTGTTGTTCACTTTTGTCTTTGGGGGAGGGGGGCATTGTTTCTGCTGCATTCATATGATGAGCAAATGATGCTCAAAGGATGATCAAATGGTCAGATAGTGATTTGCAACGTACTGATTAGCTCAGTGCACCAAAAGTGCGCGTTTCTATAATGTATACCACTCCACCCCCATGGCGCCCCTTCTATCTCTTTTTAACAGGGTTTGATTCTTTCAGCGCATTCTGAACGCGACTTTGCACCTTAAGGTCGTGAGCTGCCTAAGAAGCACGGTCTGAAAAGTTAAGAATATATGTTTAGGAAAAGATACAAAAACACAATACAATTACACCAGCATAGACCCAGATAGCTAGGCAGAATCCCACGACCTGTTGACATGCGACCGGCTGGAACAAGAATGTACGCAGCCTGCACAGCCAGCTTACGGCACCTCCACAGCGCGCACAATGACAACACCGGCAGCGGGCCAGCGCCCGACCAGCGCCGCCGCCCGTCTTAAACCCGCGCTCAGCCAGCTCACAGCACCAGCGCCCAGGACCACAACACCGGCACCAGCACCGACACCCTTTTGGAAAAGCGCGCGCAGCCAGCTCATTCTTATTTGCAGCAAGAACCCCCTAGCTATCCCGATTTGGGGAATAACAACGTATGATCTTGCGCGTGTAAGTTTATGCGCACAAAAGTATCTTGCACATATAAATATAAGATTACGCGCACAAAAGTATGCTCGCAAACGGCAAACCCGTAGTCTTCACTCGCCCAAGGCCAAGCAGTATCCAGCACGACTATTGTGTGTGTAGCATACTGAAACATGCTTGAGAGCCTAGAACATTATACGTACAAAAGTATGCGCGCAAACAGTACAGCCCTTGACACAGCTGTCGGCCAAAACAGAACCTGAAGAGTGTAAATACCCCCACAGCGCTAATAGACAAAGAACGCTCAAGCGACAACACCGTATGAGGTTGCGTGAATAAGTTCATGCGGCCCATGACTGCCGGCACTTCATTGTCAGAAGCGGCGGTTGTTATCACTTCACTGTCAGAAGCGGGCACCAGCACCGAGCACCGGCGCTCCACCACGTGCACAGCCAGCTCACAGCACCAGCACCGGCACCCGGTGCCCAGCGCCAGCACCAGCGCCAGCAACCTGTCTCCACCACGCGCGCAGCCAGTTCACAGCACCAGCACGTGCACCGGCGCCCGGCACCAGCACCAGCACCAGCAACCTGTCTCCACCACGTGCAGAGCCAGCTCACAGCACCAGCACCAGCACCGGCACCCGGCAGCCAGCATCAGCAGCGCCAGCAACCTGCACAGCCAGCTCACAGCACCAGCACCAGCACCGGCACCCGGCACCAGCAGCCTGTCTCCACCACGTGCACAGCCAGCTCACAGCACCAGCACCAGCACCGGCAGCCGGCACCCAGCACCAGCACCGGCGCCAGCAACCTGTCTCCACCGCCTGCACAGCCAGCTCACAGCACCAGCACCGGCACCCGGCACCCAGCACCAGCACCAGCAACCTGTCTCCACCGCGCGCACAGCCAGCTCGCAGCACCAGCACCGGCACCGGCACCCGCCACCAGCGACAGCAACCTGTCTCCACCATGTGCACACTCACAGCACAAGCACCAGCACCAGCAACCTGTCTCCACCACGTGCACAGCCAGCCCACAGCACCAGCACCGGCACCCGGCACCCGGCACCACCACCAGCACCGGCACCAGCAACCTGTCTCCACCACCGGCACCCAGCACCAGCACCAGCAACCTGTCTCCACACGTGCACAGCCAGCTCACAGCACCAGCACCAGCACCAGCAACCTGCCTCCACCACGCGCACAGCCAGCTCACAGCACCAGCACACCAGCACCGGCACCCGGCACCAGCGCCACCAACCTGTCTCCACACGCGCACAGCCAGCTCACAGCACCAGCACCCGCACCCGGCACCCAGCACCAGCAGCAAAGCTATCTGGGGAAATAGTAAATCACTACAAAACAAAATTAGTTAAAAGATAGGAGCCAAAATACCCTCGGGGAACGCCAGCACTTATTGAATGTTTACTCAAGAGCAGGAACAAGAATCATTCATGCGCTGTTTGTGGATTCTTAATCTTAAGAGTATGGCTTGACACAGGCGTCCTGCTCTTGATTGAATCTCTTGTCATCGAAGGTGGATGCTAACAACATTTAAGTACACACGATCTAGCACAAGTTCCATTTTATGTGAAAACTGTTGAAGGCTTAGAAAGGTTTGTGGTGTTTGAAGGAGGGCTCCTGTTGAGGGCTCTCTTCTCTTGCGAGGCTTCTTGGTGTCAGGCAGCAACCTAGTGTTCATGATCACTGTGAACTGTGTGCCCGATGTGTTTGTGTGCAATTATTTTTGTGATATTGTTGTATTTGTCTTTGCGTTATTTTTGCAATGGTTTTGTGTGTTTTATGATTTTGTGACTCATTAGAATTAACTTTAATCCAGGTCATAACCTTAAGGGTCAAGCGAGTCTGCGAGTCTGGCGGGACTGGCTGCAAGCGAGTCCGGCGGAAACTGTGCTGCACCCACCGCCTTTACTACTTACACTGTCGCCGTTCTTCGCATGTTACTCATTAACGCGTCTCCGTTCTACTATGTGTTCTGTGTTCAGTCTCTTTTTGCTTTATATATCTGTCTTCCCTTTTTCCCGTTTCTCTCTTTTTATCGCATGTTGTCTTTCTTTCTTGTTGTCTTCTTTCTTTCTCTCTTCTCTCTCTCTCTCTCTCTATCTCTCTCTCTACCCCCACTGCAATACCACAAAACTCTCTTTTTTAGGAACGACGAATCTGCCTAAAAAACTAGTCTGTGCGGTCGGCCGTGCTACGTGACGGCCGACCGAAAGAACGCGCAGCGGCACATCTTTTGCGACGCATCCAAAGTCGTCGGCACTTTGAGGCGTCGACGCACTTGGCTGTTCATCTGACGACGCAGAGAACCGCCACTTCCTGGCTGGGACACAGCATAGTTTTTCAGCACATCAGCCTGGTGTGAAAGCTGCATGAGAACCGCAGAGAGCGGGCAGTTGGCTTGAAATTTTAGCTGCTGCCCCAATCCTGCTTTCAGGCACCAAAACTTGGTGACACATGGCAGGGCTATGTGAAACAAACCACTTCAACTTAAAGCGCCGTCCTCCTTTCACCAACCTCATCATGCAGGTCCTTGACGGTCCTTGAGCTTGAACGTCCCAAAGTTTCAAACTCAGAGCCAGAAAGGTACAGCCAACGCTTGTTTGGTTTTTTGGCTCTATATAGTGACGACACACACTTGGAATAGTGAGCATTCAAAACATAGTTTGGGGTTGTTTCTTTCACTTTTTCTTTGCACTGCCTGCGACTTCTCCTGGTGAGTCCCCCAGTGGCAACACTGACTAAGAAGTAAGAAGTGGATTGGTGAAAAGAATTAGTCTGCAACCGTCTCCCTTGCGATTGCCTCCTGGACGGGCACTTGAGCACTTTTGTTTTTGCTTCTTGATTTTGTTATCTGGCAGTGCGGCAAACCTTCACTTCTGTCTGCCATTGTCTCGACCAAAGTGATGAGGCTTGTTAATCCACTGTACCTGGTAATTACCTGCTGCCAAAACTCAACCAAATGGGTGCACAGGATGCTCAATACCAAAAAAGGTGGCACGAGTACACACGGAAAACTTTAGGACATGAACATTCACTTAGCGACGCGTCACTACGTCCAGAGCTACAAAAGCCGCAAATTCCCCCCCCGAGAACCAACAACTGAGGTATCCAACTGAATGGGTTCCAATGGTCGAGGGACTTGGGGATACATATATATAGGGCTTTAGGGATTTAAGTGAGAAAAATGTTCAGGTTCAAGAAACGTGGGACTAGTGACAAATTGGTTTGCGAAGAACACACAAAAATCACGTTTCAATGAAAAAGGGTCACTCTGGGCGTTGGATATGAATTGCCTTGGGTACACACGGATAGGAAGCGTATTGAAGGTGTGTGTGTGTGTGTGTGTGAAACCCTTGGAGTCTTCGAAGTTGTAACTTTTAGCACTGCACCTCCTCATCCTCAATCTCCCCTCACCCATGTTCACTCACACACCAACTCAACTCACAAAACCAACTGACATCAACCCAACTCACACATGAACCGGCCCTTGCACGCCCCAAAAACGCGATGTCAAATTGCGCATTTGCTTTCCGAAATTGCATCTGTTGGTGCACGTCATCTCCTGTCCAAAAATCTCGGAATGTCAATAAGCAACTCGTGGGCGCGTTGCTTGTCAGATCTTCATGTATGAAGATAAACAAATCGATCGTTGAAAGCGTCATGTCATCTTCTTCATCCAATACTGAGTCTCAGCATCGAGAAGGATGCTTGGGCGCTTGGTTTTGGATTATATTGCTGGATTTTGCGCCGCCCTCAAAATTGCGTCATTCTGAAAATGATCTCCATCATATTGAGTATGACTATGCAGTGCATGAATGTCTTCGTTAGACTTAAACACCCAATGCTGACGCGGTCTTCCAACTCTACGTTTCCCTATATGTTTGGGCTCGGCGCTGTTTTGTTGATAGGATACTTGTCTAAGGGGATCGTGATTAGGGGCCCGCAATATATGTCCAGCCAAACGAACTCGCTTCTGATCCAAATCAATCGTAACGGGTCTAATTCTACTATTAGGATCACGCGGATATGCTGTTCTTGAAGCAAGTTCGAGCACCCTGTCGTTCGTCCACCGTCGGTCAATGTAGGTTGTAGGTCTTTTTAGAATTTGCCTCAACCCACGTAGT